CCCTCGATATCTCCGTATCGAAGCGACGAAAGGCGCCAAGCGTCGACATGTAAAAAGCTTTGTGCGTGGTAGCCCGCAAAGACCGCGCGAGTCCCTGTGAGCTGGCAAGACGAGCGCGGATCGCCACAATGCAGTTCGAATTGATTTCAAGTCCCCGGTGGAAAGGCCGCGTCTACACCACCGACGCGGCGCGTCGCGATAAAAAAAAGTGTGAAAGAAAAAAAGGAAGCGAGTGCGAGAAGGGGAGGAGCAGAGGAAGAAAGGGAAGGGTACGAGCACGCTCAGCGACAGTGAAAAAAGCAGAGTTCTCGATACATACCGATATGTACGAGCGCGTGCGCGAATGCCCCAGGGCGGCCCGACGAAATTGCATCCGGAATTTCAATACAGCGCATATCATATTTCAACCTTAAAACGCCGCCAGCTCTGTCCGGTATTACTTTGAGGCTCCGAAGCCGCGGAAGCTGACTTTACCCGCCGATTATAGAGATTCCGACTGCGGCGGTAAGGTGCACGCAAGGTGAGGCGCGGGGACTGCGGGCCGAAGGGTGCGGTAACGGTAAACGGATAGGGTCAGGGGGGCGGTGGGAGGGGAAAGGGAGAGACATAACTCCCGCTTGATCCTTTTGCCGAGACGGAGAGAGGCAGCAAGCTGCAAGGGACATTAGACGGTTTTCGCTTGGAATAAATGATCAAAAGGTAACTCGAGATTAAAGCTGTCGCTGACCCGGTGGTGACGCGCACGCGCACGCGCGCTTGTGCGCTCCGTTGCGACTCCAGATGTTATGCAACTTGTACAAAGTGGTATAATCAAATTTTCAGAAAAGTCGGCGATGCGATTAATGCGCGCCCGCCGCGCGTCGCGCGAAGAACACGCGCTCACGACTTCGGATTCCGCCGTCAAACGGACGAGTCGATCTCCGGGTGAACATTTCACAAGAGGAGCGCGCGGGTCGTGCGGTTGCTCGATACGCAGGGGAAATTTCGGTGATTGAAGCTCGGATATAAAGGCGCGAGTCGAGAGTTCATTTTATCGCTCCAATTTCGGCCGGGCTTTGCTTTGTCAGTCGTTTCATTTCGACGTAAACCTTATGACTGTCAGATAAGAGCTCTCTACGATCTCGGCGCACAATGGGCAATAGATAATTGCAAAATGTAACGGATATGAAAACCTGTGTGACGTAGCTCGAAACTCCAGCAGCGCTTCGTAAGTGATTAATAAGATATGCGACGGATGTGATGTAAAACGAGACCCCGTCAAACGGAATAGCTTCCGCTGAGAGAAGAAACTGTTAAAAGAGAAACGGAACGCAATTGTTAATAGCGGTGCGATACTCGGTTATAGGCCGGTTTAAACTCTTTTAGAGCGCGTTTCTTTTGTCGAGCAGTTCGTCTGGCAGCGGGAAGGAAAGGAGAGGAGAGAAGAGAGAGAAACAGAAGGAGGGAGGCAGGGAGAGAGAGGGAGGGAGGGAGGGAGGGAGAGAGAGAGAGAGAGAGAGAAAGGAGGAAAAATTATCGCGGTTGAAATCGGGGGCGAGGAAGACGAGAGAAATTAATGCCAGTTCGTTAGGACGGCTTGTGCTCACGTCGCGGAATTTAATTACCGGCAGGGGAGTAAAAATAAACGGCGCAACGTGAGAAATGTCGATTTAACGAGGAGGAACAGGCATCGCTATCGGAACGTACTCGCGACGTTCGCCATTAGGCGCGAAACGACCTCTCGAGTAATTTCCACGAGCGCGGTTCCGGGAGGGAGGGGGAGGAGGGGGGAACGGCGGCGGCGGTCGAAACAGTTTTTTTCTTTAATGAAAGGTATCATAAACGAGTTCCAAAGTAATCTTCCGCCAAGCGTCGGGCGCGGAGCACCGAGACAATTTTCCGCCGAAGTTTATCCACTCGCGTTTATCGAGGGACTCCCCCTCGGCGAGCAAAAAATTCTCATTATGACTTATCCGCGATCGACTGGCGGAGTAAACCTTGGCAATCACGATCGGACAATCGACGCGAAATCGACGAGACAATCGCGGCAGGGCGGTACCCTGGGCCGAAGGAAATGGAACTCGCGCTGACGGTTCCTCCGCGAAGATACTGCGACGTCCTTTTTCCCACTGTGGCCTCCGCGAAGAACAAGCGAACGAGAATGAGAAGCGGAGCGGTAACGGCGCGAACGCAAAGGAAACGAGACGACATTCGCCATGAGCGGGGGTGTGTGGGTAGGTGGCTGCTGGCTGCCTGCCTCGACACGGTGATTTATCGTCGAAAAGCAAAAGAAAGGGAAAGAGAGAGAGAGAGAGAGAGAGAGAGAGAGAGAGAGAGAGAGAGAGAGAGAGAGAGAGAGAGAGATAGAGGATTGCGAAAGGAGTCGACCGCGTGCGGCGGTAACGAAAACATTTATTCGCCGAATTAAATTAAGAGTGAATAGGAGAGATTGATCGAAAGTTATGCGTCATAGGTGAGAGAGGAAGGGAGATAGAGACAAAAGGAGGGAGGTAGAGAGAGAGAGAGAGAGACAAGAAGAGAGATCCCGGCGGATGTTCGCGCGATAGCTCGTCGTTTATCACGACGGCGGATCGAGAGTTCGCGGGGAGAAGCGAGCACGGGAGTTGGTAGGACAAGCCCGCGGAGTTGCACTTTACGAGACTAAGTTGGCGCGAGGTCGCGATGATTAATCGATAACGGGTTCCATACGATACGGGCCGCGATGCGCCGTCGATGCGCGAAGCGACCCTAATCACATTAGATGACGGTCACGTGATCGATATATGGTGACGCGACAGGTCATTCCGTTTCGTTCGGGCTTAACATCGCGGTAGCGTTGCCATACGCGCTGCCAGCGTTTACGTCATGCTTATCTTATGCGCGTATCAGCATGCTACGCGCTCGTATCTACATCTACATTATCATAACAGAGGCGAGCTGGCTAATTAATCGATCCACGCAACCGTGCCGCCCTCCTAATTTCAGTTTGCGTAATTAATATTTATGTTAAGACCAGCGACGCGAGAAAATGGTTATTCCGGATGGAAGGCCCGAATTAAAACCTCGTTCGTGTCACGTTAACGCTGAAAATACCGGCAATATTCGGAAGGATCAATCGCGGAAGGATTCATATCCAAGTTCGAGACGGGATTTTCACGGTTAATACATGACGCCAGAATGTCCACTCGGGATGATGAAAGAGGAATCGCTTGTTCTTGCGAAGCAGCTACAGAAAAATACACGCGCGCGTAATATTTTTTCATAGATTATAATGAAACACGATAAGATATGTAATGCACAATGTTATCCAATACCTAAAGAATATCGCTCCTTGTATATGTACGTTCTCATATAATCATTATTTACTGTGAAAATTCCACGCGCTGAAACCACGAACAACAACGCGAAACGTGGTATACGCGCTATCCGCGAAAGCTCACCTAAAGAATATTCTTTCCGCGGATTTTGCTTATGTGGATAAATTTTGGCAAATAATTGGAAATTATGTAGAAGACTAATCCGGCCGGAGATCCTCGTTGCCGGCGCTCGCTACGTCCAGCACTTCAGTCGAGAAAATTCGCGCGGCTCGTGCGCGGAGTTTGCAATTTCGGGACGCCAAACGCCAGTTAGACTCCTCCGTATAGTATTAGGTGTGTGAATTAATTCGGTCCGTTTTTTCTTTCAAAAAAAGACTAGAGTATAAAAAAACATGAAGAAGTACACTGATCAAAGTATTTGCCATCGCTAGCTATTATTTTTTCCCATCTGTCTGGCAGTTGTTGCATTCCGTGACGGAAAAACGACTCGTCCTTCGAAGCGATCCATTCATCGAGCCATTTCTCTATTTCTACATAATTGTTGAAGTGCTGGTCCGAAAGCCCGTATTCCGCCATCGATTTGAACAAGTGATAGACGGATGGAACAATGTCTGGTGAATACGGCGGGTGAGGTAAAACGTACCAGCCAAGTGCTCCCAAGGTGGCCTTCACAATCTTTCCAACATGTGGCCGAGCGTTATCGTGCCTGGAAGATCACTTTGTCGTGTCTCTTTGCATATTCCGACCGCTTATTCTTCAATGGGTTGTTTAAACGGATTAATTGTTGTTGGTAAAGTTCGGCAGTGATGGTTTGGCTCTGTTTTAATAGTTCATGATACACCACACCCTTCTGGTCCCATCATATACAGAGCATTACTTTCTTGCCGTGAATATTCCGCTTTGGTATCGATGTGGATGGTTTTCCTGGGTCGCTAGTGGATTTCCTTCGTTTGGGATTATCGTAATATATCCACTTTTCGTCCCCAGTCACAATACGATGCAAATAACCTTTTCTTTTTTGCCTGGCAAGCAAGATTTCAGACATGGCTTTTCGCCTCTCGATGTCTCTCTTTCTTTCAGTTCGTATGGCACCCATCTTCCTTTTTTTTTTACAAATCTTTCCCATGGCTGCTAAACGCACAGAAATTGTTGATCGATCAACATTCAACAATTGCGCGAGCTCATGTTGCGATTGACACGACGGATCTTCATCGATTAGCGCCGGCAATTCCTCGTCCTCGAACTTCTTCGGCCGACCTGGACGAGGTTTGTCATCGACACTGAAATCATCGCTTTTGAAACGTCGAAACCATTCTCTGCATGATCAATCGGTGGGAGCACTTTCGCCATAAGCTTCTACGAGCATTCGATGAGCTTCAGCGGCTGTTTTCTTCATATGAAAACGGAAAATGAGAACTTGCCGGAAATTATGCTTTTTTGTCGCTCGAATCGCGACATTTTCGAATCAGATAAACACGATGTTGTTGTTACAAACCCAAACGTTTATCAACTGAATAATTATTGCCAGATATCAAAACTAAAAAATAAAGCCTTTTGCAGACATTAGAGGTTAGAAAGTTACATAGTACGAGCAATTGACCACCAGATGGACCGAATTAATTCACACACCTAATATACTTCGCGCGCGCGCCAACAGGCCCCTCGTTGACCCGAATGATATCCCGCTGCTTCTTTTGTACACAGTATGCCACTTGCTGCGCGGCGGCGTGGCGGCGATTTTTGGGCCGCAGAGCGCGCACACGGCGTCCCACGTGCAGAGCATTTGCGACACCATGGAAATTCCGCACTTGGAGACACGCTGGGACTACCGAATCAGACGGCAGAGCTGCCTCGTCAACCTCTATCCACACCCGACCACTCTGTCCAAGGTACGTAGAAACTTCGGTCGTAATAGCCTCATTAAGGCGGTAAACCCGCCGCGGAAGATCTGCCTACTCGCGGACGTTTCCCCTCGGAGTGACAGGGAGGATTTCTTGTGCCTCATGCTGGGGTTGTTTTGCTCGGGCGAGCCTCTCGCCATCGGCAGCGAACAAACATCGGTCTTTCTTTTAAGCGTAGGATCAACACCCGTCGCTCTAATTAGGATAGGTTCAACACTTCGCCGCTCCGAGCCCGCTCCGAGTCGCACATTCCACATTCCATTGTAATTACAAATCGGGGCGGCGGCCACAAAAAGCCAGCACGGCAGCAGCCACGGAAACATCGGGTTTTCGGTAGAAGCGAGAAAATTCGTACTGTCACTCGAAAGCGAAAATTTAAATTTCAAGATTAATAGAAAGCGCAACTCCTCCCTCCTTTTTGTGCTCGACACGCAATTTATATGCGATTCAGTGCGGTAGCAACGCGTTGTTTCTTTTATCCGCGATTTGCTAAAAATATATTCTCCCCACGATATAAGATCGCCCGAGATCTAATCGCGTTGAAACGAAAGGCTAATCCCATTTCCGCTCTGTTCACCTTTTCGACGAGTCGCACTCGCGCGTCTCCACTGAACACACACACACACACACACACATGCGCGCGCACGCGAGCGAGATCACCTTTGCGGCCGACGAATTCTCCATTCGGTTACATCCACTTGCATCCGCTATGCATCGGATGTTACGCACGCAGCGGCAGTTCCAAACTTAACGCGAAAGAACTGAACTTTCTAAATTTCTCTTAATAAGTGCCGAGTCTCGGGAACGAGCGCGGCTGAAAGCCTAGCCGCGGGTTGTATGGCTCTTGGGCTTTTAGGTTAACGAGAGAGTTCTCTCCCTTTCTCTCTCTCTCTCTCTCTCTCTCTCTCTCTCTCTCTCTCTCTCTCTCTCTCTCTTTCTTCGCCTGCTGTGTGTTTCATGAATCCTCGCACAACTCCTTCTCCAATATTTACCACTCGCGAATCCTGCGATGCGACATGTCCTATCTTTCTCTGTGTCTGCCTCTCTTCTCTCTCTCTCTCTCTCTCTCTCTATCTCTCTCTCTCTCTCTCTCTCTCTCTCTCTCAATATTTGCCACTCGATTTGTCCTGCGTTCTCGAAAGCGCTCCGTTTATTCCCTGTATATGACGTGGCGGAATCCCGCTCATCGCTCGTCATTGAGTTTCCCTTTATTTTCGAAGGGATTCACGAGCACAGTAGGAAGGGAAAATAAATATCCGCGGCTGCGAGGCGCTCAGCGCGCTACGAACGAGAAAACATAAGCGGAGGAGTCGATAAATCCGTTATTACGGTCGAACGGAATGTGCAAGGATTTTCTTGCAGCAGGCACGAAAGACAACGGGAACGAAATCTGCGTGCGTTAGAAGACAGTCACGTTTAAGTGGTGGCTTTAACGGCCGTATCTGACGATACGAGTGTGCTCTTGTTGAGAGACGTACAATTTTTACACAGCGCGCGCGCGCGCAGTAATATCGCGCACGATATTGAGAGTTGAGTTTCATTAATTCAACCGGAAATATCGAACATCTGCCGGCAATGCTTAAAGCGATACAGCAGCGGGACGCGATCAGCAGACAGGATTTATTTCCACTGACGACGACTTCTTTCCGTGGACCTTTTCATGGGTATCATATGAAATATTGATGGCTAGATAATAATTTACAGTCGCGCACACACGCCGGCTTTGACGCTGCCGATCAAAGGGCTTTCAATGGCGCCGCATAGAGGACACAATTTAAACGCCGTTGCATATCTCAAGCTGTTCGTTCCCTCGCTTTCGTCCTTCCTTCTTCCTCCCTCTCCCGTCATAGTAAGAATTTCAATTAGAATCCAGCCATGTGTCGCACGAATTCGACCCGTGCGAGCTTTGGCCATTCGTTAAAACGAATCTCAACGAATCGACGCTTCGCGAGACACTCGCGCACAACATGTGTAGTTCTCCGAGTAGCCCGCACTCATAATCACGCGACGTATCCTGTGATTATCATCACGGTTCTCCTTCTTCAACTCTGTTCCTTTTCTGGGTATAGTGTACATTACTACGAACCACGCTGTTATAGTTCGGATGTCTCAGACTACAAAATCCGACGGTCGCACAATGAAATGCGAGTGTACGGCACGAAGTCGCTCGGTACAAAGGCGCAAGCGGGGAGGGGGAAACGTTTAATAAGCTTCCGTATTCTGAAGGTGATAAACATCAGGTTTCCTCAGTCTCAGGTTTCCATTGTGAGTCTAGTAAACCGGAGGGAAGTAGCTTACGTCGTCAGTTATTTCACAGCGTCGGGCGGGGCTAGCTTTCTCTCGCCTGAGTTCTTTTCCTCGGCGATGTCCCCGCCATTTCCAACGAGCGAAAATGCAAAATTCACCAGGAGAGCAGCGGCGTCGTCCTGATTAGAGTACTCGACTCGGAGGGAAAGGAAAATCGAAAAAGAACGGTGCACAGGAGTGCGATGGTGACGAAGGAACGAAGGGGCGGAGCGGGGAGAGAGGGACGTTGGCGTCGATTCCGTCAAACGAGCGACAGCCTCATTCAGTCAACCCGACGGAAATATTTTACTTTCCGGTACCATCTTACGCGCGGTTCAAAGGGACCGAAGGCGATTGCGAGGAGCTGACGGCAAAATGGAGCAAAAGGTGCGACAGTCGCGCTGAGTCTCTTTGATTCGCATTGGGCGAGCTGTAGGGATAACTTTAATACCTTTCCCACCCTACGACTTTCCGCGCTATGGTAACAGATTACTATCGCAAACCGCGCATTATTCCGGATAATGACAGTGGAAAGAATAATTGCGATTTGCGCGGGTAATATCGGCCGGAACGAAACGTCGGAGTTTTAGCGCGAAAGTTTCCCTCGATTTTCCGTGATCGCGATAAAAGTGACGAAGCAACTCGAGAGAGAGAGAGAGAGAGAGAGAGAGAGAGAGAGAGAGAGAGAGAGAGAGAGATCAGTTTGAAATATTATCTTTCTTTCTGTTATTTACCTTCTATTCCAATATTTTGTATATACAATATTTTCGCACAAGTCTTCTGCAAAAGACAACACGACATGCTCTCTCTCTCTCTCTCTTTCTGTCACGTTCGAAATATCTTTAATTCGATTCTCCAATTATCGCGTTCAAACGCGAAGACGAATCTATCCAATCTCGCTTTGAACTCTACGACAGCTCGTATCGTCCGCGATGAAATCGAATTGTCAGGCATTTCGATTCGCATTCCTGCCAGGACGCGAGCTTCTTCTTTTGGTCTATTTTCTTCGACTCCCGCCAGAGAAAAGCCCTTTGTGGAGTACCGAAAGAAAAAAGACCCTTTTTTCTAAAAAGTCTCGCGAAACGAATCCTCATACTTTCCACATTCACATGTACAATAATCAACGAATCCGTCTCTTTGTCTGTTTATTTTGATGCGAGCGCAAATCGATCCACGTTACATAATACACGCATATCGACACCTGAAGATGATGTTGATATTTCACTTTTGAAAACAGATACATGTCCAAACAAATTTCTTATAGGTAAACAACATTGTTTACGTCACAATTCATTTAATAAAACAGTTTCATTTACCATTGTACACGAGCGTGATTGAAACGGACAAATCGCCCCGACTGATTCATTTCGAATCATGCAGAAAGGCAGAGGGAGAGAGAGAGAGAGAGAGAGAGAGAGATACATTATTCATCGATCGTGCATGCATATCAATCGTTGTATCACTGATCACTATAATCATTGAATATGTACTCCTAGGATCGAGGATATAACCCTCGATTGCTCATTGCCTAGTATCAACCCCTTAGTTATCTAAGCTGTCACTAATGACGGTATGGATATACGTAATGATCATTAGTGTATTTCCTCAATGGTCACGAACACGATCAGCAACATTCAGACGTCTTAACAAGCGAATACTCCGCGGCTGGGATCGCAATTTCTGCGGGCGGACGAGAGAGAGAGAGAGAGAGAGAGAGAGAGAGAGAGAGCGCTGGCGTCGGCAAGATCCACGCCTAATCGAACCCGGCATCTTCCTCTTTCCGCCTCAGAATGACACCGGTCGCTCCAGTTGGAAGGTATCGACATTATGACGACATAGTGGGCGATATGTTGGCGCTAATGAACCGCGATGGTCGCAATTGCCATTACCGCAGCGATGATTTAACGATCTTCCTCATGGTCGATAATGGAGCGACTTCTGCGCTCCAGCCGCTGGTCTGGCCGGTTGTGTATGTGCGCGTGCGATCGGTTGAATCAGCCGCTACGTTGGCGTTGGAATTCAATTTGTAGCGTTTCCTAGTCGAGCCTTTGCTCGTTACGTTTCCTGCGGCACTTCGGTTCGCAATGCCGGTGTGTTCGCCACCGCCACCAGGCTCGATCTTAGAAAACGGAGAACCCTGAGGAAACGTTTGAGATTCTCTCGAGTTCTCTTCGATAAATTACGATTCTTCTTCAGCAATTACGACACTGCGCACACCTGGGAGAAGCGGGTTTCGCGCGATGACAGATTCTCAGGTGGAGTGAGGCAAAATCTCGCGGCGACTCGCAGCGGCCAATTTCTCGCGACGAGAACGGAGCCGCTCATCTCTCTCTCTCTCTCTCGTGGGAACAAAAGTCGAAACCAACCACGCTTTATCGCGGAGGTTCAAGGCGTGTGTGGTGTAAAAACTCAAGTACAATGTAACGTTAATCTTGAGACGAAAAGATTCCATCGTTAGACTCATGTTCACACTTTGTGTGTTCCTCACGACGATATCCCACATCCTCTTGTTAATAAGAATATCCTCTTATTAACAAGACACACACACATAGAGAGCTGTATATACTCCACGAAAGAAGATTGCTTCTCATCGTGGCGCAGACAAAGTACGCAACAACGTCACGACTCATTGCGCCCCGAAGCGACCACTTCCCACATCCAGCACTTAAACCGCTTCTGATCGCAGCCATCCAAACATATCG